TTGAATTTTCTTATTCTGGTTGATGAAATGCCGTCATCTCTATTAGTGATCATGGTCATCACTTTTCTTTTGCTTTCAACAGCAACATGGAAAATCTGGCTCAGGGTCCATRAAAAATGTGTCACAGTCTGAAAATCTGAAGTAAGTATTACTTGCTGACCTTATTTATTCCCTTGTCTTCCTCTAATTTCTGCCTGGAGGAGCACACCTTGTTTTTCTTTTCATATCTAACTTGCTTCAATATTAGTCTCATGGGAGATAGGATGTCAGATGACCCTGGATCCTTTCAAATTGAAGTGCAGCTGYGCTCCAGAAGTCCTCTTTTAGATGCCTAGAAAATCGTAAAATGTATTCTCTTGTTGCAGGGAGCAGGGAAAGCATTTGAAGCCACTCAAGCAAGGAGCACCAAGTAAAATTGAAGAGAACACACATTCTGGTTCTCTGTATCCTTTCCAATATATTCTCCTCCTCTTTTTTGAGCTCCAAGGGTTCCCTAATGCTTGTTTTCTTTATTAAGTGGCTTGTCGCTTGTTTTTCCTTAAGCACATTGTAGAAGTCCTACAACAGGAGGTCCAAAACCGAGAAGAGTGGGCACTCTTCCTTCCTATAGCTTTAGTTTTAGGTGTGATGAACGGGCTGAGAAAAGAAAAGAGGTAAGTTGGATTTTTGGTCTCTTAACTATGATCAACAATATGCTCTTTTCCAGCAGCATAAGCACTTGGTTAACAAAGATTATTTCTGTCATTTTACTGTGCAGTTCTACTCAAARCTTGAAGAAAAGATCCATGCAAAAGAAGTGGAGAAGAACACATTGCAGGCCAAATCCAAGGTGACATTAGCTTATGGGTTAAATCTTGTTATTTATGTTATAACAAAATCTGTTCTTTCTAATGATGTTGTGGCCAATCTTTCTATAGGAAACTCAAGAAGCAGAGATTAAGTTGCTTAGGAAGAGCTTGACCTTTAAAGCAACACCCATGCCAAGTTTCTACCAGGAACCTGCACCGCCCAAAGTTGAATTAAAGAAGGTAACCTTTTTTCTTATTATGAACAGTGATGTCAATGTGGAACCAGATTGGAAAATTGCAAATTCTAAGTTTTAGATGTAAAACCATGGGATTTATAACTAGTTCCAAGTTCCCTTAAAAATCTCAAAGAATTTATAAATAAAATCTTTAGAATATATAGAAATCTTTAAATGCTAAAGTTAGAAAAATATTTGAATGATGTTCTGTTGCCTAGGGATAACAAAATATATTAATGTCTGGGCACCATAAATTTATATTGCCATCTCATTGTTTACAAGCTTCTTCTTTYGATTGTTTTGTTGGTTCAAGGTTCTTCATTTTAACCAAGCAAAACAAGTTTTGCAATTTAATCAATCAATGATTTTTGTAAACCAATTGAAGAAAAAGAAAAATTAATATATTTTTATTGTAAACCCTTCAACCCCAATCGTCATTCTGGTATTCCAATTTCCTTTAGGCTTTTCTAGTTTATACTTGTATAAATTTACACTTTATTTTTATACATTTCTTTATTATTTCTTTTTTATAAATAATGTTTCCCTAATGTTAGCTACATCTTTTTGTAGTATCATGTTGTCAGCATGTGAAAAGCAGGCTTTTACTGGGATGAATTTTCATGCAAAAA